TATCTTTTTGAAAGATGAATGAATAATCACAAAACTAAAAGAAGAAGAAAAAGAGGGTCAGGTAGTGTTGATAAAGCACGATCAAACTCATTTATTGCTACGGTATTCTATTGCTCAAATCTAATGTCCAATGGAAATATACAGGCCCATCATTTTAATCTCTGAAACAAAAGACAACGTGCAGAGCTTGAATAGATGACTCAGAAAATTAAGTAACAGCTTGTTAGGGAATGGGGAAAGCAAAAAAAGTGCATCGAAACACAGTCAACTGATTTTTTTTAATATACATATTGGCATAGTATAGGCTAGATCTAACAATGACATCTAAAGACGAGAAAACTAGTCATATCTTTAAAATGAAGTGATATCTTGAAGGATATAAGACCTTTGGTAAATCACAAGAAGTACCTGAAGCAGGACAGATGAAGTGATAAATCCAAATGCATATTCCCCTACTCGTGGATGCCGTATAATTGCTACTTCCTTAAATGCAGTAGTATTTTGGTCTGCAAATATTATAGAATAGACCAAATTCAAATAACCATTTAGAAGACAAGCAAAGGGAAAAATCAAAAGAAGCATTTCTTGAGACCTGTAGAATCAAGTTAGGATTGAGTGGATCCTCATTTCTTTTTGTCCTTTTTGTAGTTGCAATACTGTTTTCATTTCCTTACTGTCTATTCAATATCATTCTTCTTTGGTTTCATTATGAAATTGCCAATAGTAATATTTTCGATAGAAAGTTAAGTTGCCATCCATGAATGTATGTAAGCGAAGGAGATGTTTGTCAAAGTTTATTATGTGGATTGCAGCCTTTGTAATCACTCATAAGTGACTTCAAATTAAATTCTTTAACATGATATGATAGTATCAAAAAACAATTACGAATGTAAATCCTCGTTGGTTTATAATGGCCCATACTTGAATGTATACCCATTTAGCAAGGCTACCAACATGAATTGATGATCAGAAACCAGAATTATGTTCTTTCAGTTTGGGTTTCATTTTTTCCCCCTAAAAAGTTACTTTTCAAAGTTAAATTTAACTTTATCCACGCATTTCGTAAAACTCACAAGTACTACTCACATACCATCACCCACTTCTGAAAATGAACATTTTAGTAAAAAAATGAAACCCGAACAAAGGCTACTTTCCATTTCTTTTTACTAACAAGTTACTTTTCAAAAGTCAAACTTAAATTTTAACCACACATTTCGTATGATCAGCTTTCTTTTTCTAATTAGTTGCCTAATGCCCCCACATCATTTTGGTGTTCTAATTATTATCCCTAATTAAGGCCATCTTCTCATTTACAATTAATGATAAGTTTGTTTATAAATTATTTTTTGATTCTTAAAATATCTTGTTTTACTGTAATAAATTTTTATAGTACATTTATATATTTATTAATACCGGTTCGACCCCAGATCAACTCTTTTACCCTTGACTCTTTACCTTTCCCGAGTCGATGGCCAGATTGGTTTTCAAAAACATTACGTTTTACAAATAAACATAATACATCATGATATGCAAGAATAATTTTTCGCAATCGATATGAACTTCCGAGTTCATGAACAATTAATTTACCAGATTTCAGTCCTTGAGGCATATTTTGTTTCCATGATATAAAGAAAAAAAGATAAACGCAGCAAGGACCAGAAGTGAGTTCCATTTCTAACTCACGAAAGACTTCTTTCCTTGTCATTCTTCTTTTCCTTCGTTATTCTGGGGATGAGGGAGTTAAGACAAATGCCCATTTTGTGCACAAATAGTCAATATAAGAGGATTTTCATTTTGAATCACTTCAAATCATTAAAGTTGGATAAAAGCATGGATAAACTGCTATTCTTTACCTGGAGAAATTGCAGAACTGATTTGCTTGGAGGCTGAGTATAGATGCCTAACGAATGGCATTCGCTTTATAATCCACTCTCCAATCCAGAAAACAGTAGCACCCAGCCACGATGAAACGAAGACACCAACGAGAAATACAAAAACTAA